CATGGGGGAGTAGGATTAATTTCAATAGTTCTTTCAAAGAACCGACATGGGCACGATGGGCCGAATGGCCTCCATCTGTGCTGTATAATTCTATGGTTCTCAGTGGTTAGAGCACTTGCCATGCAAGCGGGAGACCTGGGTTTGATTCCCGACAGGGCAAAACGTTGGGCAAGTTTCCTCACTCTACACGCTTGTTTACCTTGCAGTAAGTAGGAACCCGGATGTTAGTTGATTGGCGGATTGCGTTTCCGAGTGTAATAATTGCTTCAAAAAAATAATAATAATAAATTGGTCACTCAATCCACGATTGTTTGTGGGACACTGCTGTGCGCAATTGACTGCCATGTTTCGCCCGCAAAATATACAGTCAATTGACTTTACAATATATTCTGTGAACGCTTTGTGATGTCTCGAAGACGTGATAAGGCGCTATATCAAATGCAAGGATTATTATTATTCTATAAGTAGCTAGTAGTCTCCCACTTGGCTCCTGTTCATCCTACGAGCCAAATCCTTAATTACTAGGGTTGTCCTAGCTGGACCTGCAACAGGATACTTACCAATGTGTGCAATGGTTGAGCTGGTAAAACTCCAGCAGTACTTGAATCCACCTCCGAGTGTTGGCTCTGTGTGTAAACCCTACCAGATTAGATGAGCATTCCTCAGTGGAAAATGTGCCCACTCCATACCAGACAAGCAGGAATTTCCATGCATACGTTGAGCTCTCAATAGTTTGAGTTGGATCTTTTTAAACGTGGGTCAGTCCCCCAGTTGAATAAAACAAATTAAATAATAATTTACACTTGTATAGTAATTTTCATGTTGGGAGAACATCGGAAAGTTTTTACAAGGATTGAGCAGGAGGCTAAACTATAAAAAATAATAATGCTTGCCTTATAATAATAGCGCCTTATCATGTCTTTGATACATTTCAAAGCGCTTCACATAATAAACTGTAAAGTGAATTGACTGCGTATTTTGTGGGCGAGGGAGCTCAGGGAGGGAGCTATGCAGGAAAGTGGGAAGGTGGCCACATGCACAATCAAAAAGATAGATATTCGGGAGGCATTGAAAGCAAAAAGGGAAGACGCAAGCTGGAGGGATTTCAAGAGGGAGTTTTAGACAGAGGGAGCAAAAATGCTATAGGCTCCTCCATCATGGAGGTGGAGCAGACAGGAGTCCATGGAACAAGCAGGAACTGTCAACAACTGTTAATGTGAATTGTTAAACTGACAGCAGTTGATTGTTTGAAATGACACGATAACAGGCAATAAGAAACCCTTTATTTGTTTCAAATCTATGGGTTGCACAGCCACCCTGGTAGTCTCATTTAACATGAAATAACAATACAACCACAGGAGTAATGAATTGGATTATACTGCCTTGCAATCAAAACCATATGCAGCTCACAGCCACTCAGATTTCAGTATGAAATGACTGATGTGACTTACTTTACACCCAACGATTAACAAATAATATTACACACTGTGTCGTCATGGGGCTGATGCTGTGCCTGCAGCAAACAGGATAATATGATACTCTTCTCTTCCCCAAACAAATAAAAGGTTTGTGACATAACTTTAACCCAATGCAATTCCTTTGACAGAGGCTCACCAATCCCTTTGTTCAACGCCAAGGAGCTCCCAGTCCTCTGTATTCCAAGAGGCAAAGCAAACTGTGCTGGGTGAAGAGACCTACTGCCTCACTAGATAGTGGGAAGTTACAGGAGGAACCAAGAATCCGTGCTGCTTTGACAAACGTACAGTGTCTGGAAGAATTTTACCAGATGACTGACAGATGCAACAGTGCACGAGGGCTCAAAGGGCTCTGTGCAAATAAGCAGCAGGAGCCATCAAGGCAGCAGAAGCAGAATCCCTTCTTAAAGAAAACTGGTAGGAGGCTTATGTGACAGCATGCTGTTCTGTCCGGGGAAGCAATCTCTATTATTGTATTGAAAACATGCAATTGTATTGTTTGACTGGGCAGTGGGGGACTTTCACAATGAAGCATTTAAGCATTAAATGTTTATGGACATTTCTGTGTGCAAATTGGCTGCCACATATACCTACAAAATACTACAAAACACACTGTAATTTATAGTATATCCTGTGAAGTGCTTCAGGACGTCCTCATGACGTGAAAGGCGCTAATCCATGCAAGGATTATTATTAGTAGTAGTGCTGTAGTAGCATTTTACCTTCCTATCTGCACATTGTCCACGTATACAGACATGGGTGGATGATATATATGAGTTACCATAAGATGTATACTTTTGATCACGAAATGAGGATATGGCTTAATACTGTTAATAATCATTGTATTTGATATAGTGCCTTTCATATCAGGAGGACATCTCAAAGTGCTTCACAGGATTCACTGTAAAGTGTAGGTAGTGTGTATTTTGAAGGTAAATGTGGCAGCCAATTTACACGCAACAATATCCAACAAAGAGTCATGAAATGTATGACCAATTTTATCTGGGGATTATTGGCCAGGACACCAGGAGAATCTCCCTTCTCTTTTCAAATAGTGCCATGTTTAAAGTCTCATCCGAAGAATGGCACTGAGCCCCAGCACTGCATAAGAGTATCAGCCTAGGTTTGGATGTAATATCCCACATTGAGCTCCTGCTCTCAACCATTTGTGGGGAACCATGGCATGAACAATCAATTTACGAATCTCATACTTATCATGTTTATGATCTTTCCAAGTGCTGCAACATGCTACCCTACGGGAAAGTAGCTATGTAAATGCAAGTTGTTATAATAATAATAATAATAATAATCCTTGCATTTGATATAGCGCTTTTCACGTCTGGAGGACGTCCCAAAGCGCTTCACAGAACACACTGTAAAGTGAATTGACTGTAGGTTTGTGGGCGAACGCGGCAGCCAATTGCGCACAGCAATGTCCCACAAACAGTCGTAGATTGAAAATGACCAATTTATTATTGTTTTGGGTTTTGGAGGGATTATTATTAGGCTCTGTGTGGGGTAAGGAAACTTGCCCAAGGTTTCGCCCTCTGCCTGAAATTGATCTCAGGTCTCTCACTTGCAAAGCGAGTGCTCTAACCACTGAGCTACAGGACTCCACTCCTGTTCCTATGTTGCTATATAAGTAACCAAAGCAAATGAAGCAAAGGCAAGACTGTGCAGGATCAGCTGTGACTGATGGTTGTTGCCTCAGACATTGGCCTCTGTTGCTCACTTAGAAACAGCAGAGCCTGAACAATACAACACATTACATTTGTTTAGCGCCTTCCACGTTGGGAGGACATCCCAAGGCACTGGATGTATGTTGTTTTTGAAGGGGAAGATGTAGACAAAATAAAAGGTCTAGGGCAAGAATCCGTGCCCAACAGTATTCCTGGCTGTAGAAGCAGCAATTTAACCTGGCTTCACCGGACACTGTTTTAAACCGAAGATTGCAATTTCACACTAGAGAGCTGAGTACTCGCTCTAATTGGGACCCGGCCCATCATAGATAAGCAAACAGTGCAGATTCTCCAACTGTCTTTCCCTCTCTGCCCTTTTCTCTTTCTTTCTCTGAGTCTCTCTAGCTCTGTCTACATTAATTGCTTTCCCTAACCCTGCACTGCATAAACACCTTTGTGCTACCAGGACAAAATACACACATTCATGTGTGGTTACCAAGGACTCAATTTACTTACACAGTGCGGGTAAATTGTGTCCCTAGCAACCTCACGAGCATGAGATTGGATTATTGAGCCTCTCAATCATTCTGCGTTGCAGCCTAATATGGATAAGGTAACTGCTGTACATTTAAAATTAAATGACTGAATTTAACAAGAAGTAAAGATTTTAGCGGAAAGGCTAAGTGGAAAAAGTCAGGTATTTTTGTATTTTCAGCAGTGTGAAGAGAGAATTGGTCTTCCACAAGTTGGGGAGGGGGAGAATATTCAGTCCCAAATCTGTTGTAAAAGACACAAAACAACCAGATTATTTAACCTTGTGATAATTCTTACATTTCATACTGCATATTTCCCCTCTTAAGAATGCTCATTGAGATGAGAGTTGCTATTAGTATTCCTTCGGGAAAACTGCACTCCCATAAGAGCCAATATCACCAGGAATGGAAGAAGGCAAAAGAACTTGTTTCTTTGTGGAACCACCAGAACAAGATAGTTAACCTAAGCACCATGAGGGATGGGTGGATTTAGGCAATGCAGTATGTAAAATCAGAAAGTGGACAAATTGCCCCCCCAAAAAGGATGCTGAGAAACTGAAGAATTCTCACTTCAGTTTTAACTTTAGTCATCCCACTCAGCTCCAGTTAACCCTGCAAGTCAAAGCGCTAGCTGGACAAGCAGCGGGAAAGCTTGCCAGACAGCGAGAATTTCATGCATCTCACCTACACATGGAAATTCCAGAGATGGGTTGTTTGGAATGGAATGTCAGACAGCAATATCAATGGCAATTTATATGGTTTGAGCTGGTCAGTTTCCAGCAGTACCTAAACACACACTCTGGGGTCCTCAATCCTTGGCTTTTGCTAACCTACACCTGATGCTTTCTGGAATTAGGTAAGCAGGATGTGTCCCTTCCAGGGAGGGGGTGCACAATCCATTCCAATAATCTATCTCTGGAATTTTCAGGTGTACGTGGGATGCATGAAACACTCAGCTTGGTTTGGATACTCTGAAGCATGGTAATGGGTTTCCGCATGTGTCAGACCTCGGCCAACCCAAAAAAAATAATTTCAACTTCAGTGAAATTGACATCCGAGGATTGGGATTCACTGGTTACAAATCCTTTTATTAGTCTTGGAAACAAGACCCCCCCCACCCAACACCCCATTGTTGCAACTTCTCTCACTTTGCCTCATTACTTCAGGTGAAAAATATACAATACAAATTTATATTTTTACTTTACAAGTTTACATTAGATTTTGTTGCACTAAATACAGTTCATGTGTAGCTAGCCGTTGATGTTTATTTTAGCGTTCTGAAAAAATAAATTTGCATTTTTGTGCAGCTCCTGTAAATTTAGGGAACGTGTTGGATGTGTTGGTGACGAGAGGCTTCAATTCAAAAACCGACCCGACAAAAAAGAAAAGAGCACAGAGGTAAATATTAAAACATTTTCTATGTTATTTCCAGAATCGAGGGTAGGAGCTTATGAGATGTAAGCAAACAAATTATAGGCGGGGACTGTTAGAGACCGTGGTTTGGATCCATCAATGCAGACCCTATGTTATAATGGTTGTGTTTTGGAATAGCCGACAGTCATCGCCTGAGACATCACTGCATAATGTACTGATTTCCAGTGCTTGCTGAGATGCAGTGAAATCTTCAGTGCCTGTACTCCACGCACTAGAAGCCAGAAGAATACTGACCTTCCAATATAATAATAGTAATAACAATCCTTGGATTTGATATAGCGCCTTATCACGTCTTCGAGACGTCTCAAATCACTTCACAGGATACACTCTAAAGTGTAGTGACTGTATGCTTTGTGGGCGAATATATAAGATGGATCTATGGAACTACTGTGTTCCAAACAGACCCACTTAAGGGGTCTGACTGTATCCAGACAAGTTTCAATTGGTTAAGATTTTGATCTCAATGAATAGAGCCAAATCTAGTGATAAGAGGGTTTACTTACATTATTCCATAATTGTAGAAATGGGGACTCCTTCCAATAACTAGAATATTTTCATGCCAGCCTGTGCGAACTCCTCTCTGACCTGATCGATTTTCAGAGTTCCTACACAGCAACAGGAATTCCAATACAAATTAGATCCCAGCATTTCATTTGGAAGTTAACTAATTTGATTTGGGAGACAAAGAATTGTACTTCTGTGGTTTTCTATAAACGGTAAAGGTAAAGTGACATCTCACTTAACCATTTAGCCCATTATAAATTTTGAAAATGTATTCCTTTCGTATAAATTTTAATACGAAAGTGTAGAAATGAGGGGACAAACTTCAATTTTATTTTGTGACGTCAGACTTGTACGTGACATCTGCATTCATTGAAACACACCATGTTTAATGTTATTTTTTAAGCGTACCGCCCCGCCAGTCTCCTTCTTTGCCAAAACGCTGTGCAAAAAGTGACCAGCGCCCAGAAACAGCTCTGACGATAAACTCTGCAAGAGGTAAGACAATGTTTCAAGATATATTCTTCATCAAGGGATTCATATGAGCAGAAGGGAGGAAGGGGGAGAGGGGGAGGAGTTGTTGGATTTGAGACCAAAATACAGATTAGTTGCTTATTTAACCTCTTATTCAAATCAGTGCTCTTATTCACTTCATAGCTTTTCTGGTTGGGGTGAATTTTTATTTGAAGGTTGGTTTGTTTGTGCAGCGGAATATTCCAAAATGATTCAGTTTACGATGCTAAACCAAATCTTTTGAGAGTAATTTGTTTGGTTGATCATGATTAACATGCCTGAGAGCATTGAAATGCAATTCAGTTGGTTAGATACAGGATTTTTTTTTGTATGGTTCCTGTTAATTGAAAATGATCAAAAATTACCTCAGGTCTTAGACCGTACGTACCACAGTTCGCAACGGCAATTGGGAAAAGCCTGAGAATAGAAATTCCTGTAGGAAATCATTGAAAGAGTTACTGTCAATTAGTGGGTGTGTGGGGTGGGGGCTTTGTGCTGCTTCAGTGTTGCCCAAGTATTTCAGGAGAGCTGCGCACCTTCCAGGCTTTGTCCATCCCTCCTGATCCAAACCCCCAGCTCGAGACAAAATCCCTGACTCCAGTGCCTCGGGAAGCCCTCCCGACATGAAAGGTGCTATACAAATGAAATTTTGTATTGTATTGTAAGATACATAGGGAGTTTTACATGGTACAATTACCTAGTAACTTACGTGCAGGAAGGAGTTACCCAAGGCTGGATTGATCCAGCCTGCAACCCGCACATTGTTTTGATCTGGGCATGTGCCGTTGCCTTCAGAAGTCTGGCTAACTGGCATCATCGCATTCAACAATCACTGTCACCTTTAGTCTCGCGTAGATCGGTACTGTTAATCTGCAATAGTCCAACTATCTGTCTCTTAGACTGTGTCCTGAAGCTTATAGTTGCTGAAAAAATGAAAGTTTCACTTGAAGGAGCATGTGTTGTCTAGTCCGTCATGTTGGACCCTTCTATGGACTGTAGCAAGTTTACGCCTACATGCAACAACCATAAATCAGCATTGGTCTTTAAGGAGTCTAACTTCACCGAAGTTACAAGACAAACAACTGTGGTATGAACCACATCTGTGAATGAAGTCCATTTTATAGCTTTACACCCCAAAAGAAGGCCTTTGGAATTTCACTGGAATTTTAAGATGTGTTGCATTATTTTATTTTCCAAATTCTTTCAACAACATCACTACATTTATGATAGAATTCTAGGCCCCATGACCACTTAGAAACCCAGACATGGGATCATAAAATCTTCGGAGTCAGTGCTAGCATGATTTCTGAATTAATTATCACTGTTATCAGTGAAAGCGCTATTACAGTTGAATTCAGTTTCAGTACCGATATAGGTGAGGTTTCTGGTGCTCTGATTATACTCTGTTATGTTGGTTGATTGGCTGGATTGCATCAGCCAGTGTCAATGAGCTATTAAATTAAACAACAGGTACAGAACCCAGATTTTTATTACACGTTTCTACCTCTAAAAGATATTTTATTCAAACTTCTACAAAGAGCATACCACTGAAATATTTAAACAGGCTTTACTGTTATAATGCTTGGAGTTGAAAGGACAAATGTACACTCATGTCAATTGTGCATATTTTCAAATGTTAAGGATCGCTCTCATTTCCTTATTTTAATTTTTATTTTTTAAACTGTTACCAATGAAAAATGGCACTCAAGCATGGACTCTCCTAGAAAGAGGCACAGATGGAATAGTGAGAAAAATCTCTCTTTCTGGAGGAGCCATAAAGATTCACAGCAGAAAGTGCTAAACCCTCTATCCAATGGGACCCTGATTCATCAATGAGGTTACTCACTACTTTGTCTTCAGGGTACCAGTCTAACCAGAATGTAGAAGACAACTATGGATTGGGGAAGAGTGCGACATATTAAAACAAACAATTCAAAACTGCTCAAATTTGTTTCACTCCTTTTCCAAAGGTTCTCAAAATAAGCATTCATTTTCCAGCCTTGGGGAGGGAGAGGGGGAGGGGGTGGGTTGGTGGTCTAGTGGGATTCAAAGCTTTGGTTGCTCAAGCCTTGTACATTTTATTTTGGTCAGCTGGGTGTTTGACACATGCAGAAACCCATCACCATGCTTTAAGAGTATCCAAACCAAACTGAGAGTTCCATGCATCCATGCATAGGCTTGTGCGTATTGTTCATGCAAGCCTGATCACCACAGTGCATTTTAGTAATCGCAATTAGCCAAAGCTGCTAACCGGGGCAGTTCTGACGAAGGGTCATGGACCCGAAACTTTGACTCACTTTCCTTTCTCCATCGATGCTGCCTGACCTGCTGAGTGTTCCCAGTGACTTCTGTTTTTGTTTCAGATTTCCAGCATCTGCAGTATTTTGGGCTTTGTTGGTCATTTATGTTATTTATTAAAACAGATACTGTAATTAATAAGACCGATAAAGTTGAACACCTAAATAGATGTGATGGTCAGTAAAGTCTGAAATGGTAATTTAATCAAGGAGCTCAGATAACATTACTTCCATGGTTTACATTTATTACCGAGAGTTTAAATAACTGAGTGAAAATTATGAACAGCGACCTAGCATTATTTATAACGGTAAGAAAATATATTTTGTGTTTTTGAGGGAATTTGCTTTCTTATAAAGGTATGTTATACGCTTTTTCTCCCCTTCTACCCCCCACAGCACATTGTTAACCATAGGCATAATTGATAATGGCGTGAAATCACCTTATCTCAGGCTCTCTTGCTGTGCAGCTCAGCCTACAGATCGGGTATAGGACTGTGACAATCACTTCATTAATACAATACTCCCCATTTCAAACACAAACACACAGTTTTAGTGCACTTCCATTTTATTGAAACTTATTAAAACTTGATTATTTCTAAAAGCAAACACCGAAATGCTTGGTAACACAGTGTCATCATGTAACTAGCTCTATTTTTCTCCGAACAAGCGATGTTAAGAGTCAGCCTTGCTGTATGAAAAATAGAAGCAGTATATCGAATGATGTATATTCATCGCCACAGTTTCAACCTCTCCCAAGAAAAGCTGAATGTAACACAGTCAGTTGCGGATTGGCAGCCCAGAACGGCTCGGGATTGTCATGTAAAATGGGGGGGTGGTTCATTCATGGGGGACGGGGGCACCAAAAAGCATAGAACATCCGTGTGTTTACAAATTCGGGCTTACATGGAACTTCTCAACTAGATTGCACAAGGTGGTAAATCAGGAGACGTTTACGTGGGCGCTCGGTAAATTTCATGATTTCCCATATACCCAGCCCATCACTGAACACATTTACATATGTGGTGGTCTGAATATTGAGTAATCGGTAAGAGAGATGTAGATACTTGTTCTTTTGGATGGTTCCAAATCATTCCAAATTTAATCTCCTTTAAAATAAAAGATTTTTAAAAATATATCTATATTACCAGGGTTGTTTTGGGGCCCGAGGGGGAAATTAAGGCATGGCACATGAATGGTAATCTGCACATTGCATGAGTTCAGTAAATGGAAGTTCATTAGCAAGGAAGGAAAAATGTTGGTCATTATTGGCCATTCTCTCAAAGGATTGTGTCAATGTGAGTGATTGATCCACATAACCGATTAACTTTTGGAATACATGTTGGATGCATTTGAGGAAAATCTGCAACCGGTTAATTTACTCCTTGGCCAGAATCACATTTGAAATGTAGTGAACACATTTGCTCACCCTCCTCTCAAAAGTTTATCAGTGGATGTGGAGAGAAATCGGGAAAAGCAACAATGATTCTACAGATTTAAGGTCTAAGTTATATTTTTTAAAAAGTACACAGAAGTGAACTTGTCTTTTATGGAGATAATATTGAGAAGCCCAAGACTGGGAAATACTAAAAGGTGTGGAAATTGTGGATTTTGAATGGATTATTTAACTTAAAATATGATACGAACCAGCCTCAAGTGCGACTAGAGTTTAGGGGAAAAAAATGTTCCCATGTCTAAATGTGTACACGTACTCCAACATAAAGCAGTTACAAACATTTACAAAGAATGTGCAGCCCAGAAGCAGGCCACTGCCCAACCAGTTCGTACTGGTGATTATAACCGCAAGAATCTCCACCCTATCTTAATATTGCATCTGGTAAGGCTTTATGATGATACTGCTGAGGATGTGGAAATATTGTCTAGAAAACAGCTGGAATGGCCCGAATAATGGTTCTTGTAATCTTCAATAGACGTCCAGTCATTTTCTAAATAACCTCAGACAGAAGGGTGAAATGTAATAGAGCTTTATCTTCCTTGAAATCTTATCAAGGGCAATTCATCTCAAGATGTTAAATAATATAAAAATAATAAATGGTATGAACAGGCAGAGTCAATGATACAGGAATTGTATATTGCCTGTTGAAGGTGGGGCTCAGTGGGGTGAACAGCCTGCTCTGAATCCAAAAAGATGTCCTTAACTGTGGAATAATTGCATTAGTTTTTAACTGCATCAGTTTTGAATCCTTCAGAGACTGCTCTCAGCTGACAGCCAGCAAGGCTAGCTGCAAAAACATGTCATACACTTTGGGAAACAATATTAATCGTAGTGTCTTTGGAGACTATTGTGCTGTTATTTCTAATATGGTTAGACATGATTTGTTTGGCAAGAACAACTCTTCAAATTTGCCGAACTACCTAGAGGAAAAAATTCTGAAAGAATTGTTTCTCTTGCAGTTAACAGTTTGGCCAGGTTGATAATCCTTTTGATCAGGTTGGTTGTAATAAGTCCCAGCTCTCTATCATTCTCTATATAATAAACTAACAATAGAGTACAGTTTTACCAAGCAATCATGGTTGATCATCGTTGATCAGTATCTGAAATACTACAAGGGGAGCACTAAGATTATTAGACATTGTCACTGACTCCTTCCTGAACATAATATATTCACTAACAAGAATGAATTGTCCAACCAGTAAATCAAAAAAAACGGACTGGGTCGCTATTAGTGA